AACAGCAGGCAGCCGCCGCCGCCACAGCCGGGGCCGCATCCGCCACAGCAGCCTATAGCAGCAGCAGCCGCCGATGGCACCAACCGCAGCCGCCACAGCCGGGGCCGCAGCCGCCGCCTGCGGGTGCCATCGCCGTCGACAGCAGGGGCCGCCGCTGCTGTCCCGGCCCTGCCCTGGAGAGCATAGCGGCGCTCCTCTGCAGCCCTGTAGCGGCCCCGTCCCTGCCGAAGTGCCTCAGCCCTGCCCGACCACTTGCGGCACTCTACCCACCTACCCTGGTAAGAGCACCACCGAGCCGCGCCCCTCCTGTTGCTACTGCTGCTGCTGCCCCTAGCCTGCTGCCACTGCTGTCATGGCTACCCCTAGCATTCTTGCCTTTGATGTTGAGGGTCGGGCTGTTGACTTTGAGGTCATGGTCGATGATCTACAGCTTTTCCTACAGTGCGATAGGAAAGACAGTCTCTCACTGTTCGATCTCACGTCTGGCGCCTCTGCTGCCACTGCTGCCGATGCTCACACCACTGTTTGCTCACAATGGGCCACACACAATGCTGCTGCCCGTCTTGCTGTGCGTAGTCACCTGCCGTCCACTGAGCGCGCGCACTTTAGTCAATACAAGAGTACTAAGACCTTGTACGACGCTGTAGTTGCACGCTACTCTTCCCCTGCCACTGCTCCCCTTAGCCGCCTCATGCTGCCGTACCTGTTCCTTGACCTCGCCGCCTTTCCCACTGTCGCTGAACTCATTATGCACCTTCGCACTAGTGACACCTGCTATCGCGCTCCACTTCCTGCTGAGTTCTACGCCAAGAACCCCCCCCCCCCCCCCCCAATGTACATCACCCTCTACTACATAGTCACCCGTCTCCGTGACTCCCTTCGCTCAGTCAGGGACCACTTCCTCTCTGTTTGCCCCACCACACTCACCATTGACCTCCTGGAGGAGCGCCTCGTAGCAGCTGAGAAGAGTATAGTTGTTGTAGGAGCCTTTCGTGGTGACCATCGTGCCCCCTTCTTTGAGGGGTGCTCCCCCTCCCCCCTTTTGCCCTCTGTTGCCTCTGCTGCTGCCCTCGACTTCGTTGGCACTGAGTCGGTCGGCGTTGCGTCTGCCTCTAGTGGGAGACGCCGCACCGGCAAGGGCAAGGGGTGCAAGGGAGCTGGAGGGGCTGGTGGTGGCGGTGGAGGTGGCGGTGGAGGCGGCGGAGGGAGTGGGGGTGGTGGTGGGAGTGGTGGCGGGGGTGGGGGCTTCGGTGGCTGCGGTGGAGGCGGAGGCGGAGGCGGCGTCGGCGGTGGGAGCGGAGGAAGAGGCACTGGCGGTGGTGGTGGAGGTGGCGGCGGCGGAGGTGGAGCTGGTCGTGGTGGCTCTGCGCAGCGGAGCGGCTTCGGTGGTGGTCAGCGCCAGCAGCAGCAGCGCACTCGTGACACCCCGCCCCCCCAGCAGCTTCGTGAGTGGTACGTTGCGCGTCAACGGGGTGAGGGTGCAGGTCCTTGTGATACGTCCTGCGTACCGGTGACCACGCTGGTGAGCAGTGCGGTGGCCCACACACCACCCAGCGCTACTTCGGCCGCCTGACGAACACTTGGCGTCTCCAGTTCCTTGACGCCACTAAGATCCCCCGCTGTGGTGAGCTGCTTAGGTCGAGGGTTGCTATCTTTGCTCTGGATTATGATGCCAGTCTTGCTGCCGTTTATGTTGTGTCTACTAATGATAAGGGTGACTGTTACCTGTGTGTCTCGCCTGACATGGGCATTAACGCTGCTGCTCTAGGTGCTAGTGAGGCTGCTGCTCTAGGTGCTAGTACGTCTTCTGCCCCAGGTGCTGGTGAGTCTGCCCTCTAAGGCACCACCTCGGCTCAGGCCTTACACACCTTCACCCTTGACTCGGGTGCTTCCCGCTCCTTCTTTCGAGACCGCACCACGCTTACGCCGCTTAGTCGGCGAATTGCGGTCTCCTTGGCGGACCCATCTCTACTATCTTACCGTGTCTAGCGGCCCCCTCTGGCACCCTGTCCGGTCTCTTCCTCCCCTCATCCTCTACAAACTTGGTGACTGGTGGTGATCTACAAGATGGGAAGGTTGACCAGTTCACTCCTGCGAGTCAGCGGGTGACCCACTGTACGTGTGCTCGGACGGGCTGACACTTGGCCACGTTTACCCGTTAGCCGGGGTCGAGCCTGTACACACTGACTACTGAGTCTCCTCTGATTACTGAGTCTGGTCAGGTAGCTGCGTCGATTAAGGTGTTTGCTGCAGCGTTCAGGTCTGATCCTGAGTCTGCTCCCTGCTCGTGTCGTCTCCTGTCCCATCGGACTCTCCTCTAGCACCACCGCCTTAGTCACCCCTCCCTGCCTCGTCTCTGAGGCATGGCCTCCCGTTACCTTGTCTCTGGTATCCCCCGGTTCCTCCCTCCCCTCCCTCCGCGGCCTGCCCCTACCTGTGTTCCCTGTGTCGAGGGGCGGCAGCGCGCCGCCCTCACTCCTCCGAGTTTCCTCCGACAGAGGCTCCGCTGCAGACTCTTCACATGGATGTGTGGGGCCCCGCCCGCGTCCGTGGCCAGGGTCAGGAGCGTTACTTCCTGTTGGTGGTTGACGACTACTCGCGTTACACCACGGTGTTCCCCTTGCGCAGCAAGGGTGATGTCACTGAGGTGTTGATCGACTGGATCCGCGCAGCTCGTCTCCAGCTCAGAGAGAGTTTCGGCTCGGACTTTCCCGTTCTGTGCCTGCACTCTAACAGCGGCGGGGAGTTTTCCTCTGCCCTTCTGAGAGCCTTCTGACGTGCACACTGCATCCGCCAGACCTTCACGCTTCCGGCCACTCCACAGCAAAATGGGATTGCTGAGCGCCGCATTGGCATGGTCATGGACGTCACTCGTACGTCCATGTTCCATGCGGCTGCTCCCCATTTTCTGTGGCCATTTGCGGTTCAGTACGCAGCGCATCAGCTCAACCTTCAGCCTCGGGTCTCCTTGCTGGAGACCTCTCCCACCTTGCGGTGGACGGGGAAGGTTGGCGATGCATCTGCGTTTCGTGTCTGGGGATCTCGGACGTTTGTCCGCGACTTGTCTGCGGACAAGCTGTCCCCCCGTGCTGTTCCCTGCGTCTTCCTTGGCTTCCCCCCTGACGCGCCTGGTTGGCAGTTTTACCACCCCACCTCGCGCCGTGTTTTGTCCTCCCAGGACGTCACCTTTGACGAGTCGGTTCCTTACTACCGTCTCTTCCCCTACTGCACTGGGCCCCTCCCCCCGCCGCCGCTCTTCGTTGCGCCAGGTCCCCCCTCGGTAGACCCTCTCCCCCCTCAGGGTCCTGCCCCGTCAGGTGTGTCCCAGGTAGACGCAGAGGAGCTTGTCGAGGTAGCTGTTGACTTTGGTGCTACTAGGGGTGATGGGCCTTGGGGTGCGGAGTCTGAGGGTGCTGAGCCCGGGGGTGCTGGGCCTGGGGGTGCTGAGCCTGGGGCTTCGGAGCCTGGGGGTGTTGAGCCTGGGGGTGCTGAGCCTGGGGGTGCGGAGCCTGGGGGTGCTGGGCTTGGGGGTGCGGAGCCTGGGGGTGCTGAGCCTGGGGGTGCGAAGCGTTGGGGTACTAGGTCTGCTCGTGTGGCCTCTCGCGGTGCTGGGTCTGGGGGTCCTTTGGGTGCTTCATCTCGGCGGGAGCTATCCTCTCCACAAGAGCTACGCGAGTGGTTTGCCCTGCGCTGGAGCCGTGCTGCTAGAGCTGGAGGTGCTACTGTTGCTGCTGACCCTGGGGTCGGCGCTGGAGGTACTGAAGACCCTGGTCCCGGAGGTGCTCGTATGGCGGTACTGGAGCTATTGGGACCGGGGGTGCTGCTGGGGCTACTGGAGTTGGTCCTGCTAAAGGTGCTGCGGGTGGTGTTGGAGGTACTAGAGCTGCTGGGAGTGTTGGCACTGGGGGTGCTTCTGGCGTTAGTGCTTCTGAGGGTGTTGGAGTTGGCATTGTTGGAGCTGGAGGTGCTGCTGGCGCTGGTGCTTCTGCTGGGGGTACTGGTGTTGTCCCTACTATTTTTGAAGGCGCTGAGCGGCCGCGGCCGTACTTCGTTCCGCTCCTTGAGCAGGTTCTTGGTCTCTCACCCTCTCCTGGTCTTGCTCCTCCCTTGGGGTGTCCACAGCCTGTCCAGTCGCAGTCACAGTTACAGCTCGCCTCCCCCCTGCCTGCTCCTTCTCCCTACACTGGTCCTACTGGAGGTCTTGCTGAGCGTCGTGAGCCTGCGTCTCGTCCTGCGTCGCCCGTTCGTGCTGCTCGCACTAGTCGTCGTGTTCCTTGTCCGTGTCCTCCTGCGGTCCCAGACACACACCAGATGGCACTGCGTCCTTCCAATGCTCCTCTGCGTGTCCCGTTGCTGTCTCCTTCAGAGTCCTCTCTTCCTGCTTTTGCTGACCCGGAGTCTGACTCTCTTCGTGCTGCCAGTCCGACTGTCACGCGTCTGCTGGCTAGTGTTGTTACTGACCCTTCCTTTGAGTCCAATGCTACGTCTGCCTTAGTTGTTGAGCTTGTCGACTTTGCTGCTCGCTGTCGTCTAGACTACGCCGCTAGTCTCGTTGCAGAGTCTGAGTCTGTCTGTCCTCCGTCCGTCGGGGGTGAGTGTGCTCTTAGCACGAACGTCCTTGAGGACAGGCAGAAGTTGTTCCAGTGTTTCGCTGCTGCTTTGCCTCATCTCGTGTCCATGCTGATTACCCCTGAGGGAGACCCGGATGCACTAGACTTCTCGACTCCTCTTCGTGCTGCCACTCCTACTGTCATGCGTCTCCTGGCTAATGTTGTCACTGACCCTTCCTTTGAATCCACTGTTGCGTCTGCCTTAGTTGCTGAGCTTGTCAAGAGAGTGAAGCTCATAGTCGCGCTAAGCGGCTATGTGCAGTAGCACACGAAGAGTGGTCATCTTCGGGGTGGGAGAGAAGGTCTGAAAGTAGTCAACTCCCTGCCGCTGACTGAAGCCTCGAGCCACGTAACGCGCCTTGAGAACAGGCGGAGAACCCGGCGGCCGCTTCACCCCTGAGGGAACTGGTCAACCCCCCTATCCTGTAGGTCCGCTCCACTCACCAAGTTCGTAGAGAACGTGGGGAGGTAGAGACTTGACAGGGTGCCAAAGGGGGCTGCCGGGCACGGTAAGACAGTGGAGAAGCTAGCAAGGACAGGACCCCCAGAGGAGTCCGCTAGGGAGACTGCAACCAGCCGACTGAGCGGCGTAAGAGTGGTGCGGTCTCGAAAGAAGGAGCGGAACACACCACAGTCAAGGGTGAAGATGTGTAAGGCCTGAGTCGACGTAGTACCTGAGAGCACATACTCAACAGCACCTAAGGCAGCAGACGCACTAGCACCTGGGGCAGCAGACGCACTAGACCCTAGAGCAGCAGCCTCAATGCCCGGGTCAGGCGGTACACACAGGTAACAGTCACCCGCAACACTATCATCAACAGCATACATGGCAGCAAGAATAGCATCAAAATCAAGATCAAAGATAGCAACCCCCGCCCTAGACAGCTCTCCCCAGCGAGGGATCTCAGAGGCCTCGGGAAACTGGTGACGCCACGCGTCCGTCAGGCGGCCGAAGCAGCGCTGGGAGGAGTGTGGCCCCCCGCACTGCTCACCAGCACGGTTGCCGGTGCAGAGAACGTAGGTGGAGGGACCCGTACCCCCACCGCGCTGACGCGCAGCGTACCACTCACGAAGCTGTTGAGGGGATAGGGTCTCATAACTGCTCTGCTGCTGCTCGCGCGTACCACCACCGGAGCCACTCCTCTGCGCAGAGCCGCGACCAGGTCCACTGCTGCCGCCGCCGCCTCTGTCGCCTCCTCCACCTCCGCCTCCTCCGCCACCTCCGCCGCCTCCGCTCCCTCCGCCACCACCACCGCCTCCTCCTCCTCCTCCACTACTGCCGGCGCCGCCACCACCCCCGCCACCACTCCCACCACCACCCCCACCCCCTCCACTGCCTCCTCCACCACCTCCACCGCCCCCGTCATCCCCTCCAGCTTCCTTGCCCCCCTTGGCCTTGCTGGTGCGGCATCTCTCGCTAGGGGCAGACGCAGCGCCGACCGACTCGAAACCAACGAGGTCGGCCGCAGCAGCAGAAGCAACAGAGGGCAAGAGGGGGGAGGGGGAACACCCCTCAAAGACGGGGGTGCGAGGGTCACCACGAGAGGCTCCTACAGCGACTATGCTCTTCTCTGCTGCTAGGAGGCCCTTCTCGAGGAGGTCAACAGTGAGAGTGGTGGGGCAAATTGAGAGGAAGTGGTCCCTGACTACGCGAAGAGAGTCAGGGAGCCGGGTGACTATGTAGTAGAGGGTGATGTACAGGGGGGGGGGGGTTCTTGGCGCAGAACTCAGCAGGAAGCACAGCGCGGTAGCGAGTGTCACTAGTGCAGAGGTGCGTAATGAGGTTAGCGACTGTGGGAAAGGCAGTAAGGTCAGGGAAGAGGTACGGCACCATGAGGCGGCTCAGTGCAGCAGTGGCAGGGGAAGAGTAGCGTGTAACTACAGCGTCGTACAAGGTCTTAGCACTCTTGTACTGGCTAAAGTGTGCACGCTCAGTGGTCGGTAAGTGGCGACGCACAGCAAGGCGAACAGCAGCATCGCGTGTGGCCCACTGTGAGCGAACAGTGCTGTCAGCAGTAGCAGGCGGGGCAGGAGAGACACTAGAGGTGAGATCGAACAGAGAGAGTCCGTCTGCCCTATCGCACTGGAGAAACAGCTGGAGGTCATCGACCCAGACCTCAAAGTCAATGGCACGGCCCTTAGCATCAAAAGTAAGGACACTTGGGGGTAGCCATGAATGCAGTGGCCTAGCAGGAAGTGAGCTCACCAGTCTGAGGAAGGAGGGCCGGGGAGCACCGGTAGGAACACCAGCGGCTCGACAGTAGGGCGGCTCGGCGGCTCGGCGGCTTGGTTGCTGGGCGGCTCGACGGTAGGGCGGCTCGGCTGCTAGGCGGCTTGGCGGCAAGGCGGCTCGGCTGCTGGGCGGCTCGGCTGCTCGGCAGGTGCGCTCCTCGGCTGCTGGGGTGCTCGGCGGCTTGGTCGCAGTGCTGCTGAGCGGTGACAGGGCCGCTAGGGGAGGGCGACGGAGCCGCAAGTGACGGCGACGGGGCCGTAGGTGGCGGCGAGGCCGCAGGTGGTGGCTGCGTGGGTGCAGGTGGCAGCGACGGGGCCGCAGAGGTGGCGACGGGGCCGTTGGTGGCGGCGACGGGGCCGCACGTGGCAGAGACGGGGCCGCAAGGGGCCTAGACGGGGCCGCAAGGGGCCTAGACGGGGCCGCGGAGGGGCCGTAAGGGGCCTAGAGAGGGCCGTAGCGGGGCCGCAAAGGGCCTAGACGGGGCCGCGGAGGGGCCTTAAGGGGCCTGGGCGGGGCCGTAGCGGGGCCGAAAGGGGCGTAGACAGGGCCGCGGAGGGGCCGCAAGGGGCCTAGACGGGGCCTTAAGGGGCCGGAAAGGGCGCCGCGAGGGGCCGAAAGGGGGCGCGCGAGGGCCGTAGGGGCGTCGCGAGGGGCCTTTAAGGGCCGTAAGGGGCCGTAAGGGCGGCGCGACGGGCCGTATAGGGCGGCGCTAGGGGCTGTAAGGGCGGCACGAGTGGCCGTAAGGGCGGCCAAATAGGCCGTGAGAGGGGCCACTAAGGGCTGCTCGAAGGTAGGGAGGATACATAGAGTGCGACTCAGGAAGGAGTGAAGAGCGCTCTGGGCAGGAAAAAAAAAATATCGTGGTGGGCCCTAGGTAGCGTTCTCACTAGGGAACCTGCTCGATACCATGACGAGAAACGATAATGAATGCATTGAGCAGGAAGGGGAGTACAAGTAGGTGTCAAATTACAACATTCTGTAGGCTATAGTGGGGTAGCCCATATGGGGTACACATTTCTAGGGTTGCATATTTGTATCACTTCCATTCCTTAGTGCACCCATCCTCGTTCTCATTTCCTCATGGTATCGAGCAGGTTCCCCCGTGGGAACTGTGCCTAGGGCCCACCACATCGATTTCTCTTTTTTTTTCCTGCCCGAAGCGCACTCTGCCCGAGTCGCGCTTCGGGCTCTTACCTCGTCGAGCCGCCCCAGCGGCTCCTCCGCCCTAGCGGCTCTGCCACCCGTCGACTCGGCCCCGCCGCCCTTCAGTGCGGCCCCGCCGCCCGTCTCTGCGGCCCCGCCGCCCTTCTTAGCGGGCCCCGCCCGTCGCAGCGGCCCTGTAGCCCCGCGCTACGGCCCCGCCGCCCGTCTTAGCGGCCCCGTCGCCCTGCACTGCGGCCCCGCCGCCCGTCTCAGTGGCCCCGTCGCCCGTCGCTGCGGCCGCGCCCGCCTCGGCGGCCCCGTCGCCCTGCACTGCGGCCCCGCCGCCCGTCTCAGCGGCCCCGCCGCCCGTCTCTGCGGCCGCGCCCTACTCGGCGGCCCCGTCGCCCGTCTCAGCGGCCCCGCCGCCCTTCACAGCGGCCTCGCCGCCCTTCTACTCAGCGGCCCCGCCGCCCTTCACAGCGGCCCCGCCGCCCTTCTACTCAGCGGCCCCGCCGCCCTACTCAGCGGCCCCTCGCCGCCCTTCTACTGCGGCCCCGCCGCCCTACTCAGCGGCCCCGCCGCCCTAATCAGCGGCCCCACCGCCCTTCCACTGCGGCCCCGCCGCCCTTCTCAGCGGCACCGCCGCCCTACTCGCGGCCCCTGCCGCCCTACTACTGCGGCCCCGCCGCCCTACTCAGCGGCCCCGCCGCCCTAGTCGCGGCCCCACCGCCCTTCCACTGTGGCCGCGCCGCCCGAGCCGCCCGCGCCGCCCGACCGCCCGCGCCGCCCGAGCCGCCCGAGCCACCCGACCGCCCGAGCCGCCTGAGCCGCCCGAGCCGCCCGAGCCACCCGAGCCGCCCGAGCCGCCCGACCGACCGAGCTGCCCGAGCCGCCCGAGCCGCCCGCGCCACCCGAGCCGCCCGAGCTGCTCGAGCCGCCCTAGCCGCCTGCGCAGTTGAGCCGCTGGTGCCACGGAGCCGTAGTCGCTGCTGTGCCGTCCGAGCAGCTGTGTTGCTGTACTGCTAAGCTGCCCGACCTGCCCTGTCCGGTGAGAGCAGCGCGTCTGTCCCTGCACTGCCCCTGTCCTTCAGTTGGTACTGCTAGTCTACTGCTGTCATGGCTACCCCTAGTGTTCTCGCTTTTGACGCTGAGGGTCGAGCCATTGACTTTGAGGTTTGGGTAGATGACCTGCAGCTCTTCCTACAGTGCGATAGGGCAGACGGTCTCTCCCTCTTTGACCTCACCTCTGGCGCCTCTCCTGCCCCTGCTGCTGATGCTGACCCCACTGTTCGCTCCCAGTGGGCCACGCGCAATGCTGCTGCACGTCTTGCTGTGCATCGCCACCTGCCTACCACTGAGCGCGCGCACTTTAGTCAGTACAAGAGTGCTCAGACCTTGTACGACGTTGTAGTTGCGCGCTACTCTTCCCCTGCCACTGCTGCACTGAGCCGCCTCATGCTACCGTACCTCTTCTCTGACCTTGCTGCCTTTCCCGCAGTCGCTGACCTCATTACGCACCTCACCACTAGTGACACTCGCTACCGCGCCGCGCTTCCTGCTGAGTTCTGCGCCAAGAACCCCCCCCCCCCCCCATGTACATCACTCTCTATTATATAGTCACCCGCCTCCCTGACTCCCTTCGAGTAGTCAGGGACCACTTCCTCTCAGTCTGTCCCACCACTCTCACTGTTGACCTCCTAGAGAAGGCCCTCCTAGCAGCAGAGAAGAGCATAGTCGTTGTAGGAGCCTCTCGTGGTGACCCTCGCACCCCCATCTTTGAGGGGTGTTCCCCTTCCCCCCTGTTGCCCTATGTTGCCTCTGCTGCTGCGGCCGACCTCGTTGGTCTTGAGTCGGTCGGTGCGGCGTCTGCCCCTAGCGGGAGACGCCGCTCTGGCAAGGGCAAGGGGGGCAAGGGCGCGGTTGGAGCCAGTGGGGGTGGTGGAGGTGGCGGTGGAGGCGGCGGAGGGAAAGGGGGTGGCGGTGGGAGTGGTGGCGGGGGTGGAGGTAGTGGTCGCAGCAGCGGAGGCGGAGGCGGCAGCGGTGGGAGCGGAGGCGGCGGTGGTGGCGGAGGTGGAGGCGGCGGTGGCAGAGGAGGTGGAGCTGGTCGGGGTGGTGCTTCGCAGCAGAGCGGCTTCGGTGGTGGTCAGCGGCAGCAGCAGCAGCGTTCTCGAGACATCCCCCCTCCTCAGCAGCTCCATGAGTGCTACACGCAGCGTCAGCGTGGTGGGGGTTTTGGTCCGTGCACCTACGTCCTTCGCTCCGGCGACCGCGCGGGTGAGCAGTGTGGGGGTGCCCACCCCACCCAGCGCTGCTTTGGCCGCCTGACGGACGCTTGGCATCAGCAGTTCCCCGAGGCTAGTGAGATCCCCCGCTGGGGAGAGCTGTCTAGGGCAGGTGTAGCTATCTATGATCTTGACTTTGATGCTATCCTTGTTGCCATGTATGCTGTGACTACTAGTGATGAGGGTGACTGTTACCAGTGTTTCCCGCCCGACCCTGGCATTGGTACTGCTGCGCTAGGTGCTGGTGAGGCTGTTGCTCTAGGTGCCCGCGCGTCTGCGCCCTCAGGTACTGGTGAGGTTGCGCTCTCAGGTATTGCGTCGGCTTCGGCCTCCCTCACCTTCACACTTGACCCGGGGGCTTCTCGCTCCTTCTTTTGAGACCGCACTACTCTCACGCCGCTTGGTTGGCCGGTTGCAGTCTCCCTGGCTGACCCCTCTGGGGGTCGTGTCCTCTCTCACTTCTCCACTATCCTCCTGTGTCCGGCTGCCCCCTCTGGCACCTTGTCTGGTCTTTACCTCCCCTTGTTCTCGACGAACTTGGTGAGTGGTGCTGACCTGCAGGATGCGGGGGTTCACCAATTTACTCCTGCGAGTCAGCGGGTGACCCACTGCTCGGACGCTCGCACAGGCAGGCACCTGGCCACGTTTACGCGTTGGCCGGGGTCGAGCCTCTACACCCTAACCACCGAGTCTCCTCCTGTCCCTGCATCTGGTCAGGTAGCTGCGTCGGGTCAGGTGTTTGCTACAGCGTCCAGGTCTGGTCCTGAGTCTGCCCCCTGCTCGTGTCGCCTCCTGTCTCACGAGACTCTTCTGTGGCACCACCGTCTTGGTCACCCCTCCCTGCCTCGTCTCTGAGGCATGGCTTCCCGTGTCCTTGTCTCTGGTCTTCCCCAGTCCCTCCCTCCCCTTCCTCCAGGGCCTAGTCCTTCCTGTGTCCCCTGTGTCGAGGGGCGGCTCCGGGCTGCCCCTAACTCCTCTCAGTTTCCCCCAACAGAGGCCCCGTTGCAGACGCTTCACATGGACGTGTGGGGCCCAGCCCGCGTCCGTGGACAGGGTCATGAGCGCTACTTCCTGCTGGTGGTTGACGACTACTCGCGTTACACCACAGTCTTCCCCTTGCGCAGCAAGGGCGATGTCACTGAGGTGTTGATCGACTGGATCCGCGCAGCTCGTCTC